CACTGATCTGACCTCTGCATATGAGCAGAACATTTTTTTTTGCTGGGGACAGCTGAAGCCATAAATTGTACTGTGTTTTTCATAAGGACACAAGCATAAAATACAACTAAATTGCAAAAAGTGACCATACTTAGCTTTTGGATATCCCAAAAAAAGGAATCAGAATTGTTGTGACATAGAAGCCTGAACTTCTAAAGCATTTCCTAGCACAATGTGCATTCCTACATATGGAAGATCACTGACCAGAAATACTAACTTTGTTTCTTTGCCACAGATGCTGCATAACTTGCTGAGCAATTTCACCATTTTCTGTATTTATTTCTGGTTTCCAGCATTCACAGTTTTCGCTTATGCATTGCTACATGGCTTGCCTTTGGGCCAGCATAGATTCATACACAAATACTGAAAGTAACTAAATATTGTGTTCCTCTTTTAGGGAAGGGTTCAGTCTAGCCAAATCACAAACGAGTTCTTCATTTTAATTTGAACCTGATGGTCACATTATTTTCTGCATGTATCACAGTACAGCACGTTAATACTGTTATTATTGGAAACAACTTATTTTCTTAGACTAAGACTTCCAATAGAGCACAATACCAAAACAGCTCATGAAACAGGCCATCTTAAAAGAAATAGTTTACCATAAAAGATCTTCAAGCTAAAGAACCAATTTCACAGCTGGGCTTCAAATTTAGCTTTTGACACCCATATTAACTTAATTAAATGATACAGTACAGATTTTTTTTATAATTGTGGTAAGCATCAATACTGTTTCACTTTTGCACCCCCAGTCCAGGAGTAAGACGTCTGTTTATACCTAAGACATTGGATTAACCTTTACTTCCTACACTTAAATCAGTTAACTATCACAGACTGCTGATTAAATCAGATCTCAATACTGGTCTAGAATATTAGAACCCCTACAGTGTGGAAAGAGGCCACTTGGCCCATCAAGTCTGCAACGGCCCTCTGAAGAGCATCCCACTCAGACCCAGCCTCCCCACCCTACCCCCATAACCCACATTTATCACTGCTGATCCAGCTAGCCTGCACAGTAAGGGGCAACTTAGCCTAGCCAATCGACCTAACCTGCACATCTTTAGACTGTGGGAGGAAACTGCAGCACCCAGAGGAAACCCACGCAGACATGGGGAGAACATGCAAAATCCATACTGACAGTCAATCAAGGCTGGACTTGAATCCAAGTCCCTGACACGGCTAACCACTGAGCCAACATGCCATCAATTCCAATACTTTCAAGGAAGGCAACCACTTCTTATCCTTCTTTAACTTGAACTCAACCAAAGCTCTGCTTTCTGTATCATAATTCAGACCAAACCCTGCTCACCTATTACTATTGAGCTCACTGGTCTATGTTGGCTCCCAATCTGATAATGTCTTGATTTTTACAAGTCTCATTTTTGTGTTCAAATTCTTCCGCAATGGCCCCAATCACTTTACCTTTTCTGTAACCATCTTTGCAGCCTCCTCTAACCTTACAAACCTCCAAATATTTGCTGACCCAGTAATTCTTTTATGTATCTCTGATTTTCTTCACTTTACTACTGATGACCATGCCTTTAGCTGCAGAGGTGCTATCCTCTGGAATTCCCACCCTCTACCAATATTTCCTCCTCCAAGTTATTCCTTGAAATCTAGCTCCTGAAACAAGCTGTTGATAACGCATCCACTATCTCTTTATGTGGTTTGGTGTCAAATTTTGTCTGATAATGTCCCAGTCCTTACATTGAAGACATATACACATGCCTGAATGACTCAGTGTCACATAACAACAAAAAAGCAAAATAATGGGCATATTGAAAATCTTAAAAAAATGCTAAAGAAACTCAGCAGATCTGGTAACGTCTGTGAAGAGAGAAACAGAGTTAATGTTTCAAGTCTGATATGACTCTACTTTTCTGTATTTAAAATGTTAATTTTGCTTCTCTCTCCACTGATGCTGCCAAACTTGCCAAGCTTCTTCAGCACTTTGTTTTTATTATTGACTCAGCACCATGCTAGACAGCTCACTTCCATGAAGTGTTGTATATAGCCTTCCAAATACTAGGCTTATCAACAAAGTTGCAACTTATGGAATACAAGGAAAAATGGCTATTAAGTTGGCTGAATTAGAGAAAATGGAGAATAGTGGTCAACAGTCGTTCTTTGGACCATAGTTTCACAGTATTCTTTACCCACAAAAGGCGGCCATTCAGGCAATCATATCTGTTCTGGCTCTCTGAAATAGTAATTCACCTAGTGTCATGGCCCGGCCTTTTTGCCATAGACCAGGAAATGTTTCCTTTCAATAATTGCCCAATTTCTTTTGAAAGCCCCAGTTTACCCTGTCTGTACTATACTCTCAGGCAGTGCATTCCAAATCTTTACCAGTCACTGTGAAAATGTTGTTTCCTCATATCACCATTGCTTCTTTTGGCATTTACCTTAAATCTACAAAAGACTCAAGGAAGGTAGGAGGACCATTGTTTTTCTTGATCCATATTAATGATTCAGACTTGGATGTGCAAGTCACGGATTTAAAATTTGCAGGTGACACAAACTTAAAAGTATTCTGAATTATCAGGACAGTAGTGACAAACTTCAAGAGAACAAACAAGATTGTGCAATGAGTGGACACATGTCAGATCAACAAAGCAGAGATGTGTGACATGGCATATTGATAGGAAGAACAAGAAGAGGCATCGGATTAAGGACATTTCTAAATGTTTCAAGCATATTTTTAAAAGTGAGATTCAGAAGCCAGAAATTATTATACGCATTGGTAGGATGACACTTTTAGGGAAAAGATTAAAGCAGTACAGAGTGCATTTAAGAGGTTAGGTAGAAGATTAAAAAATAAAACTTTAGAAGTAGTAATTTCTGGTTTACTCCTAATGCCAAACTCAAATGAGGGAAGGAACAAAAGGCTAAAGGAGACAAGTCAATGGCTGATGAGCTGGTGTATTGGTCAGGGATTCAGGTTTTTGGACAATTGGAATATATTTTGGGATAGAAAAGACCTGTTCAAAAAGGATGGGTCTAACCTAAGCTGGAAAGGGACCAATATCTTAGCAGAGAGATTTGCTCATTCTATTAAGAGAGACTTTATACTGATAGAGAAGGCAAGTGGAGGAATTCTGAGTAACAATATAAATGGAAGAATTGATGGCATAGGTTCAGAATGTGAGGGGAGCATGTCAATTAGACAAGAGAGAGTCAGAGTATGTAGTAATTCTGAAAACCTAAACTGCATTGATTTCAATTCAAGTGGTCTTACAGGTAGAGATGATGAACTCAGGGCA